TCCCTCCCTGCCCCAAGGAAAGAAAACTTATCAAACTAGAGTTTTTAAATTTTCCCGTTCTATAGTTTTTAGTAGTATCAAAGTTTTGACATTTATCTAGGATGAAGGCTGAAAGTTTCTCCAATCACCACATTTTGGAATTTCTCCACATATAAATCACCTTTATGAGTAAGGAGATTTTKAAAAGATCAAGAAGGAATATTAATACGTATACTGGTCAGTTAGCTACACTTACAAAGTGATTTGCCCTCAAAAGACTGTCAAATCAAAGTGGAGGTTATTGGAAATAATTTTATTATGCAATAATAATTTTTTATAATTTTGATTCTAAAACCTTATGAGAACTCTGTAAGGAGGGAAAATTACAACATATTCTCTCTCAAGAATCTATATGGTAAAAGCTTAAGAAAAATCCAGAGATCTATAAAATAAAAGGATAATACATTTCAACCAACTGGAGCTTATTCATAATGTGATGTTGAATTTAATATTTAAAAATATGAAAATATTGCTAATTAGGAAAAAATATGAAAGATAAGGAGATCATTGTGTTGGTTGGCTTTCTATCATGTGACAAGTACCTGAGAAAATCAAATTAGATGAGGAAAGATTTATTTTGGTTCATAGTTTCAGAGGTTTCAGTTCATAGTAGGTTGGCTCCGTTCTTTTGAGTCTGAGATTTGGAAGAATGTCATGGCGGAGAGGTATGACATCTCATGGCAGCCAGAAAGCAGAGAGAGAAGAGGAACAGGAACAAAAAAATATAGTCTACTAAGTCCCACCCTTTACAGTTTCCACAACCTCCCAACAGTCCATTCAAACTATGAATCCATGAGACCAGAGGGACGAGACTAAAGTCCTCATGATGCAATCCCTTCCCCAAATCCCCACCTCTGAACACTGCTGCCTTGGGGACAAAATCTTCAACACATGAGCCTGTGGGGGACATTCCAGATCCAAGCCATCACAATTACTCAATAGAAACAGAGACACCATTTAATAAAATTTTATGCATATTCATGTTTTTCAAACTTAGCAAACTAGAAGCCATATGGAAAACCCCTAATCTGATCATTTAAAAATCTTCAAAAACCTGCAGAAACATCCTACTCTATGGTCCACTCAGGAAATTAGAAATGAGACAATGATGCTGATTTCTATAACTTTTACTCAACATTATACTGGGGGCCTTTGTCAGTAGACTAAAGAGAAATAAAAGCATAGAGAAAAAATAAAACTACGAAAAAGAGCCCGGATGACAGGCATCCCAGAGGCTTGAGAAGCCGAGACAGAAGGATCACAAGTTCAAAGCCAGCCTCAACAAAATTGAGGTGCTAAGCAACTCAGTGAGACCTTGACTCTAAATAAATTACAAAATAGGGCTGGGAATGTGGCTCAGTGGTCAAGTGCCCCTGAGTTGAATCCCCAGTACCCACCCACCCACCCAAAAATATGGAAAGCATAAAAAGCAAAAAAATATTACACTGTCATATTTGTGGAAAACATGAGATCATGTATGTAGATAATCTTAAAAGTTCTATGGACAGGCAAAATTGTTGGATACAATATCAACATTCAAGAATCAACTGCATATTAATATTCCAGCAACAAAAACAAACAAAACCCCAAAACGTCATTAACATTAGTGTAAAGAAACACCAAATATCTGTGAACAAATCTGATGAATTGCATTCAAGACCTCTAAATAGAAAACTATAAAATGTTACTGAACATTTTTAATGAATAAGTAAATGGAAGAATCTATCATATTCCTGGATCAGGAGCACGCAATCTTTTTTTATAATTATATATATCTTTAGTTGTAGGTGGACACAATATCTTTATTTTATTTTTATGTAGTACTGAGGATCAAACCCAGTGCCTCATGCACACTATGCATACTAGGTAAGTGCTGTACCACTGAGCTATAATCCCAGCCCCAGGAGCACCCAATCTTATAAAGATTTCAAATTTTATTTAGCTGACCTATAGATTTAATCTAATTCCAATCTTTTTAAAAATTAATTAATTAATTAATTCTAATTAGGTATATATGACAGCAGAATCCAATCCCAATCTTGATTGCAGCAGTGTTCCCCTGGCAAATTGATTAACTGATATGGAACACATTTGGAAATGAAAGACACCAGAACAGCCTCTGAAATTTTATTTTATTTATTTTTTTTTAAAGAGAGAGTGAGAGAGAGAATATTTAATATCTATTTTTTAGTTCTCGGCGGACACAACATCTTTGTTGGTATGTGGTGCTGAGGATCGAACCCGGGCCGCACGCATGCCAGGCGATTGCGCTACCGCTTGAGCCATATCCCCAGCCCGCCTCTGCAATTTTAAACCAGTGTAAACAGGTTTTATGCTACCAGATATCACTGCCTTTTATAACACTTTCCCCTTAAGACAGCCATTGGCACAAGAATAAACAAACTGACCCATGAAACTGCACAGAGTCCAGAAATAGACCCACTCATGTCTGTTATCTGATTTATGGCAGAAACCTCACTGAACCTCAATGAGGAAAGAATGATATTGTTAGTAAATGGTTCTGGGTCAACTAACTATCCATATAGAAAACTGTGTATCTTTGTGTCTTCTTCATTCAATATAGAAAATCATTTTATACAGATTGCTGAGTTAAATGTGAAAGGCAAAATAATAAGACTTTCAAGGGAAAGTCATGACCTTGGAATAGGCAAAGATTTCCAAATAGAACACAAAAGGCCCTAACAATAAAGGGGAAAATGATAAATTCAACTATATAAAAAATGATAAACTTCTATTCATCAAAACACACATAAAGTGAGTTAAGACATCCCATAAAGTGGAGAAAAAATATACATATGTATCAAGTATTTTGATATATTGATTTATGCATAGATATTATAAATATACTTACATGTCTGGGGGTGTGTGTATATATATATATATATATATATATACATATATATAACTATGTAGTAGTAAATATGGCAGTATTTACTATACAATGTCTACTATATAGTAATCTACTATACAGTGACTCTGCTCCTAGATATATATCCAATAGAGATGTTCTTTTTTTTTTTTAATCTGAATTCTAGTTTCATGGGATGTGTTCACTTTGTGAAAAATTATTTGGGCAATATTCCTGAGGCTTGAGCACTTTGCTGTATAATATTCATTAATAAAAAAATTTAAAGGAAAAACCTTCATAGAATATAATATTTTATATTTGTGGTTCAGTAAAATTACAAATTATAACTTGTATTTAATATTCAGGTCTCCTATGAGTTGAAATCATGAGTAACAAATTGAAAATATTCATCGTACTTATTGCCTAACATAGAATGGTTCTTCAGATTGTAGGCATTAGTAACGAACTACCTGAATTTGAGATCCATCTCAACCACTTAACTGTGACATTAGGCAAATTATTTAGTTTTCCTGTGCCTCTGCTTCCTCATCTGTAAAAGGGGAATATTAATAATGCCACCTATCTTGGCTGCTATGAGCATTTGGTTAGTGAATAAATGTACAAGGCTTAATGCAGTTTCTGGAACTATAAGCACTCAATAAGTGTTTGTTATTTTTGTTAGCCTTAATGTTTGCTTAACAAATATTTAGGGATTACTCTGCAAGGCATAGAGTTGGTTTCCGCAGCAATGAGAGAACTGAAAATGATGAAAAGTTTAAACCCTAATGATTTAAAGCCCTGGGGAATCGAGGGTAATAACCACACATCTATATAGCTGATATTTTTGTGTTGCTGCTGCTGGATCCTACTTCCATTTAACTTACATCTAGAGATGGGCAGGTTGAGAAATTTTAAGTCCATATTCAGTGTGAAGACTTTATTTGAGCACTAGAAAGAGATTTAATACTAATGGGCCATAAGTTTGGAGATGTAGAGGTCAGTGAAAACGAAATTAAAATAATGTGGGCTTGTGGTTCCTGGAGTTTGTGTTATGTTCATAGCCCATAAAGGAGAGCTAATGAAATAAAGAGCTATGTGTATAAAGACACACAGAATACTGCTCTTTCTCAGATTTTAAAAAATTCGTCATCAAGCAAAAACAACTCCTGGTGACCATGAATATTTTGACAATACAGGTATTCCCCAACCCTCTCTGCCACCCTGGAAGGAAGATTCTCCTTGAAAATGCACAATTTAGGGCTGGGGTTATAGCTCAGTGGTAAAGCGCTTGCCTCAGAGGCACTGGGTTCGATCTCAGCACCACATAAAAATAAATAAAGATACTATGTGTTCATCTACAACTTTAAAAAAATGCACAATTTATTCGTTGAGTCAAACACCAATCCAATCTCAAATGTCCAGGTTCTACTGATGCTTCTGTTCACCGCACATAATCACTCTCTCCAAAACTGAACAAAACTCAGTATCACTTGAATGCACTGTTGCCACGGTTTCAAAAATTGGGAAGCCCTTGGAATTAATCTTTGCGAAGTGAAGGCTGATTGACAGATTCATAGAAATCCCTCGATTCAACCAACTAAAGATCCTAGGGCTCTTTTGAACTSTTCTCAGAGTCTGGGACCATTAGTATTCATGACCATTAGTAGTCTTTCAAGTACGACTTGTCTCTGGGAAGTTCACAAAATGGAATCCAGCCACTGAATAATCGAGTCGCATCAAAAACGAGCCTTTCTTCCAATACCGGTTTATCAGAGGCTGAGGCCGCCCTGAGATAATCTAGGCAGCGGGAGAAAGCCTCCTGCAGGCAGGCATCCTTCAGCTCCGCCCGCATCCGACGAGGCTGGCAGGGAAAATTAGCCTCGCGGACCTAGCTGCTTCCAGGCCMCGCCCACTCACAGGGCCCGCCCCCTTATCCCCGCCCACTGATGCTCCGGGCCGGGAGGCCTTGTGGATAGGGGTGGCCGGGGGCGGAGCTCACCCCTTGCCCTACGGGTCTCCCAGGCTCCGCCAATCAGCGAGCGCCCTGTTGGCCATTGCAGCCTCCCGCGCCCCTCCCTCTCCCGCCGGCCTCTGCGTCCCAGAATCCAAGATGGCGGGATCCAGGCTAAGGGGTCCCCAGGCCAGAGCCTGGCCGCTTCTCTGCGCCCTGCTGCTGTCACTCAGTCGCTTCGTCCGGGGCGACGGCATGGGAGGCGACCCCGCGGCCGCCGGTGCTGCGGACACGCCGGCTGTGATGCCACATCGCCGTTTCGAGTACAAATACAGCTTCAAGGGGCCGCACCTGGTGCAGAGCGATGGGACCGTGCCCTTCTGGGCCCACGCGGGGAGTAAGCCCGGGAAGGGGGCGGGAGGCCCGGGTCCCCTCTCCGCCTTCCGCCTCCTCCTTTCACCTTCTCTGCGCGGATACCCTGGTGTGGTGAGGGTCCCTTTCCAGCTGTTGCACACCGTATGCGCTGTGGTGGGGAACCTCTCTGCAACCCCAGGTTCCTCTGGCCTGCAAGTTCCCCCGCCAGCCTCCGAGAGCCTTCTCAGCATTCTGTCCACTCTCATCCACCTCATGACTTCTTTGATCTCCTCGGTACTATCCGTTTGATCTAGAAGTGTTTTGTTACTTCTTTCCACATCCCAGCCCTCAAACTCACTTTTGGGTGTCACGTTTCACCCTGATGCCACGTCTCTGGGGGACACGTTCCCCACCCACAGCCATCCCAACCTGAGACCTGTTTCATCAGCCTCCTTTCTCCTGCTTACTTTTCTCCAGTGTTGTTAGCATTGGTTAATGCTCAGGTTTGTACTCATTGCCATTTGAAGACTCCAGAGAATTCAAAGATTGATTTTAAAGTAATTTTTAAGTTTTTGCACGTCAGAAGACGTTATTAAGCTGTTAGACCTACACCTTTGCCTCTCTTACTGACTTTGGTGTGGTCTTTGATCTTTGCATTATGTAACTTTATAGTCACACTTATGCTTTATTATGTAGTAGTAGATTTTTTTGTATTGATTATTTCTGAACCTGGCTAAGAATAGCATTATTATCTTCTCCTTTTAAGGAAAAAAAAAATAGAAGTTCTGCTTCAAGTTTTTTTCACCTTGTTTTGGCTTTCTTATTGATAAGAGAGTCTTGTTAGAGCATATCTGCAGGTTCTAGTGCTGATGTGTCACTGCTGACTAAGGAATCAGTCCTACCACTTGGCATGTCATAACCTCTGTTCAGTGACCATCAGATACACCCTTTAAAACAAGTGGCCAATGCCTTTTGATGACATGAAAACTCTGGCAGTTTGAATTCCATCTGTATGTGTGATTAAGCAATCATTTATATAAGGCTTGTATACATCCTTCTAGATTATCCAGTGCTTGAAATAAAATGTTTCATTTCTAGAAAGTAAGTACTAAATAGAAAGCACTCTTTTGGGAAGGGCCATTACCTGCAAATTAATATGTAATTATATGGTATAAATTTCAATTTGATTTAATGACCAAGTCATCAAGTGTTTGAATCCGAGTGCAATTATGTTGTTAACTCAGCAGTTATATATTATGAGCCCACTGGGCAAAAGGATAATGGTGGGCAATTGTTATCAAGATAACATCATTGTTGATACACAAAGATGATGCAGATTATACTAAACACAAGGTTTTGGATCTTTTGCTTTCAGTGTTTTAGGGAGGATAAGAATGATGATTAATTTTTCAGTAGTAATGGATTTGTTCATACTTTTTCACTTTTGCGCCTCTCCATTATCTGCCTGCTTTTCTCTCTCTCTCCCATATCCGCAAATTAGGAATGTTAATCAACTACCAAAGTTAGTTACTTTGACTTTCTTTATAGAGCCATAACCTATTAATCTGGTGTGATGCAAAAATTCAGGATAATGTACCTTAATGCATTTAAATTGTTTGTCTAGACTATATTTGAAATAAAGAGATTAGTATTTTAACCATTTCTTAATCTGTGTACTGACTCTGGGAGTTACTGCTATGGATGTCCCTTGCTTGCACCACTACTCTAATTTTTATAGTCTTATTGTTCTCTTTCTGCCATTGTTCATTCCCCCCTCCCCATTTTCATTTGGCCCTGCAATCCATTATGTAAGACAAAAAGTAGAGAGATTTTAGGATCTAATTTAAACAAAGCCCTTGATGTTTAGCCCTAAATTAAGATAAAATCTATCATGTTTGTCTTTCTTAGTTCTAATGTCCTTTTGTACTGCTGGTACACATGGGTCCATAAGGGCAAAAAAAAAAAAAAAATGATACTTTGTAACTATAGCTCTCAAATCTCTTTTCACCTTCATTTTTCCGATTTGCTCCTTAGTAGATAAGGTGTTATCTGTTTTACATATGGAAAAACTGATGTTCAGAAAGGTAAAGTTTCTTGGAAGAGGTTACATAGCTGGTTTCTATAGAATTGAACTCAAATCTAGGTGTTCTGATTATCTGTCCAGTACTCTTTCTGGTGCCTTCCTCTCAACCATTCAGTATTTGAAAATGATAATGACAAAAGTGAGTGATCATACTGAAGCATTTCAACTTTACTTTTTTTTCAGTTTTTCCTACCTATAAAGTGATATTATAGTTTTATTTCCGAGCATAAATAATAGTTTAATATCTGAAAGGTTATGCAGAACTTTTCAAATTTTAGGCCTAATCATGCTTTAATAATTATCTAATTCAAGAATGGGAGGATTGAAATACGTATAAGCATATTCATTTTATTGCATTTTGCATATATTGTGTTTTTTTACAAAACAAAGATATGTGACAGTCCTATTTCCAGCAAGTCTGTTGGCTCCATTTTTTTAAAACAGCTTAGATGATCATTAGCTTTTTTAATAATGTTACTTTTTAATTAAGGTATGTACTTTTTTTAGATATTATGCTCTCATACATCTAATAGACTAGAGTGTACTGTCAATATAACTTTTATATTGATACTGGGAACCAAAAAAAAAATGTGTAAAAACTGCTTTATTGCAGTGGTTTGGAACCAAATCGGCAGTATCTCCAAGGTATGCCTGTATGTGCACTTTTATAACCCCTTATATGCCTCTGAGGTTGTTAGAGAGATGAAATAACTTACCTAAGATTAACCTGCTAGTTAGTGGCGGAGCTAGCACTTCAGCTCAGATTGGAAGTGCAAACCACTACTTTGGGGATCAMCATTTTCTCTCAGAATCTGCCAAAGCTGAAGAATGGCTTACTGAATTGAAATTTAGTTGACTTTCTTCCTTGAAAAATGCATATATGCAGAATATTTTGCATATAACTTTTGGGATGTTTATGGAAGTGATCAAGCTCAGCCCCTTCATTTTACAGGTGAACATATGGTGAACCCAAGAGAGTAAGAGAATTTATTTGTTCAAAGTCCCAGCTGTACTGAGACTAGGAACAAGTCTTTTGATTCCTAGTGGTATGTTCTTTTCAAAATGTTTAAGACTTTTTAACATTTGTAAACCAATAAATAAATATGTTGCACAGTTTTTTTAAAAAAATATTTGCATATTTTTGAGGTATTTAAAAAATATTATGAGAATCAAATAGGTAGTTTGCCTTTTAAGTCATAATTTCCTTCCTCTTGCCGTGGAATATTAAATGTATTGTTATAGGTTTATTTTATTTTATTTTTACTTTTACAGAGATACTTCAGTGTTCCAAAGATAAAAGAGGCATTAGGCCTAAAGTTTCAAAGTTGAAACTGTTAATATGAAATTATTTCTTTTTTTTTWWAAAAAGTTATGAAATTATTTCTTAATAAAATTATTGTTCAGCTTACTAAGTTAAAATTAGTTTTTTAAATATGTAGTAGTTTGGTGATGATGTGTTGAATTTTATCTAATTATAATTTAAAGCTTTTCTTCCCTTGTTTCTGCTGTAGATGCTATTGCAAGTTCAGATCAAATTCGAATAGCACCATCTTTAAAAAGCCAAAGAGGGTCAGTGTGGACAAAGACAAAAGCAGCCTTTGAGAACTGGGAATTGGAGGTGACATTTCGAGTGACTGGAAGAGGTCGAATTGGAGCCGATGGCCTAGTAAGATCATTTCTGTTACTTAGAAAATTAATATAAATGTACACACCACTGACCTAATGGTTCCCTATTATGTATTTTCAGGCAGTTTGGTATACAGAAAATCAAGGCTTGGAGGGCCCTGTGTTTGGATCAGCTGATATGTGGAATGGCGTTGGAATATTTTTTGATTCTTTTGACAATGATGGAAAGGTATATTTATTTTAAAAGCAGTTACAGACTTTGTTATATCTGCTAGCAAAGTTAGATTATGAGAAATATACCTTATTTGACACTCATGAGTTTAATTGTGGGAAACTTGGCAGGTGATATTTTAAATATGGTAATTAGTTTTAATTTAGCAACTGAGAATTTAGCAACTGAGCTATACAGATATAATTTTTCATAAACCAGATAGAGGTCATAATGGAGCCTTAGAACTTTGCAGTGACTGCCTTCCCCACCACCCCTGTAATGTGCTTAATAATATTGCTGGATAAGCCTGAAACATTAAATGTAGGCAGGGAAACCAGTTGTGTTTAGAAGACTTTTGAAAGTTTGCTCTCATCACAGTGTTCATGTGCATGACTTATTGCTAGCTCATGTAACATCTTTTCATGTCAATCTCTCTTTTTGATCAGACCAGATCTCTCCTAAAACAGTTAAGAACAAAATGTACTTACATATTGTAAACATTAACTGTGGTTTAGCAGTAGCCTTAAGATTAATGACATTCCCTTTAGCTGGTTTTTTTCTTCCCTGACTTTCAGTGATCCCTATTAGCAATTCAAAGAACTTTAATAATTCCTTGAATACCAAGGCCATATTATTTTAAAATTTTGAGTTCTAGAATTTTAGAGATATAAGAGACTTCATAGTATAAGAATGATCTAGAATTTTTTTATTAAGGCCTTTAAAACAAATGCATTCTCTTTATTTTTAGAAAAATAATCCTGCTATAGTTATCGTAGGCAACAATGGACAAATCCATTATGACCATCAAAAGTAAGTATATGATCTTTCAATTTCTCTTCAGAAATTGCATGAAAAATATTGTTTCATATCCTGAATACTTTGCAATTAAGATTATTCTTTTTCTTACAATGTCATTTTGTAACTTAGTGAATGGATCTTATTTTAATTTGACTGTGTCCCAACCCATTAGTCCCAAGTTTTCACATCTGAATATCTTAATGAAATTGACATAGGTACATAAAAATAGGTTGGAATCATAATCTAGAGTTTATATACATTATATAATTGAAATTATTATAATTATATAATATAGTTATAATTATTACATAATTATATTGCATATAATATTTATGTGCTTATAGGTGTTCCACATCTGGAACAATGAAACCAAATGGGTTAAAATTGTTTCTATGAACCACATCATATGTTAAACTTAAAATATATATTTATTTAACCTAAAATTATATTATACAATATTTTTGAAGGTTTATAGGATCTTCCTGGCTTTCACTAGTCTTACTTTTTCAGCTTTATTAATTTTAAAACTAAAGTTGAGCCTTAACCAAACTAATGAATACACAATTTATACCACTTTATTCATTCTAAATATTGTGGGTTACAAAGGATCTGAGTRTTCAGTGTATTTATAATGTATGTGAACTAGGAATGTACATTTTTTATTTTTACATATTTGTTATATAGGAATTACCTCTTAGTTAGTCGGTGAACTGCAAGAAACATTACTTATCCTTGGTGTAGTTTGCTATTTCCTGCCTTAGTGATTTTCAACCCTGGTAGTTCATCACCGCTCTCTCTGGAGCTATCTAAAGTAGAGGTATCTGGGCATTCTCCTTTCTATTCTACTTTAGTTCATTTCTGGTGGAGTCTATGAATCTGCATTTTTAAAAGCTCTATAAGGAATTTGGATTCTGCCCTATGGTAGAGGTCCTCTGTCCTAGCCTCATACAGAATGGTATATCTCTCCTTGCTGTCAGCACATAATAACATTGGTTCTCATGTCACTCAAAGTTCTGGCAGGAAAAAATTTGTGCCACCTTTGTATCCTCTAAATAAATAAAAAGTTGAAATAAGTATCCTAAGATTTTATCATAACTTGATATTAGTTTAATCTTCCTGAATTTTTAAATATTGAAAAGCTTTCTAAGTTTCTTTTTTTCTTTTCTCTCACACTCTAGTGATGGTGCCACGCAAGCCCTAGCAAGTTGTCAGAGGGACTTTCGCAATAAACCCTATCCTGTTCGGGCGAAGATTGTATATTACCAGAAAACTCTGACAGTAAGTTGTAGTAATCAAATGAATAATGTTCTAGTATGGCTTTTCTTCTTGAATTCTTTTTGAATTGATTGAAATTAAATGGACTTAAATGTGGATATTGTTTATGTGCTGATCAGTGTTACTCTAAGAGAACAGACATGGCTTTAGAGCTTGGTATATGTAGGCATCTATTTAAGAACTTGCCAGCAGGTTTCCATTTGGTCAGTAGGCATTTGAGCACCATGCTCTATGTGACATGTTATATGTATATATGCTAGTCTTTGGGAAGTAGGAGTAAGACAAAGGTCATTCTCCCCAGAAAGCTTATAGTCTAATGCTGGAGACACATGTAGCATTAGCATGCTATGTAACAAAGACTACAACGCACCACCATTGARGAATTGTAGGAGTGAAATTCTGTAACTCTGATGTGGGAGTGGGGAAGGTCAAAAATAGCTTCTCAGAGTTAAGCTACATTTTAAAGCAGGAGCAGGAAGTTTGGGGTAGGTTGTGTGTGTGTGTCTTCTAGGCACACAAAGTCATAGGGCCTTGAGAGAAATTGAAATATTTGAGACAGAGTTTGCTTTGACTTATAGAGGACACCTGGGGGAAGCAAGTTTGAAAGTTTGGCAGTTATACACCTTGCACAGGGTGTTCTGTAGTTTATCCTGTAAAGAACTTTTAAGAAAGTTCAGTTTTAAGCAGAAAGTGAAATGATCAGATTTACAATTTTGAAAGATGACTTAGGTCCTAGTGTTCTTAAAGGATAAGCCAATTTTGACTACTTGACTCTGAAAAGTTCCAGGCCTGTGCTTTGTACTTTATGTGCAGTTTTTTAAATAGCCCTGTGGCATATGCATCTCCATCTTAAATGAAATTGAATATAGGAGATTTTGAATAATTTCAATATTATCATACTGAATAACTCGGAGAACTCTGATATAAACCCAGCTCCATCTTAAATGCAAGACTCCACTTGTGGTCTGCACCAAGGTGGTGCCAAAGGGAAGGCAGAGGAGAGATGAGGAGCAGGTGAAGACTGTAGGACTAACTTAGTTCAGTTTGCCAGGGGTTGAGGTACAAATAGAGTTGTAGAGTGAAAGATAGTTCCTGAATGTCTGCCCATTAGACAACTAATTGGTACCATTTCCTAGCAAAGTAGCAGTTATCTTTGTTTGTGTTTGGGGAAAAATGGAAATGAAAGGGTTGGTACATGGTTTAATTATAGATAAATTGAATTTAGCATAAAACATAGATGGCTATATCCAACGGGCAGTTCTAATAGCTAAGATCATCAATGCATTGTAAACTTTGCTTTTTAAAGATGTTATCGTATCTTTGTGAACTTTTCCTTTTCCTAAATCATGAGCTAGCCTTAAACTCCTATGTATGAAACACTGAAAATTAGCTCTTTAGAGAAAAAGAAATTACAGGTATGTGGAATTGAACCCAGGGTTTCATGGATGCTAGGCAAGTGCTCTGCCATTGAACCACACTCCCAGCCCTTTGGAAAACTATATTGGCTTGATCTTAAATTCCAAGCTGTTAGAGATCTCATTATAGAGGATATGTCCAGGGTATTAGGCTGGACATAGGTTTTACTATAATTACTATTCATCCTGTACAGTTTCATTAGGGTCATCACTAAATCACACTTACCTTCMTATGGATAAAGCTCAGACAGCAGATATTCACATGGTGAATAGATGCTCACTTAAGATCTCAGAGAGGCTGCCTGCATGATTCTACACAATCTATACAATGAGGGGCCCACCAGCAGTTCCTGCAGAGTGTACTACTTCCCCCCAAAATTTCCTAGTAAGATGAGATTGGGTTTTGCTATATGTATTAGCATATTTAAAATTCCTTCATAAAGAAAGGATAAATAAATAAACCTTTAATAAGCCTCACATTCTGCGGACTTATTTGGCCCTGGAATTCTTTGTTACCTAATATCTACAGATAACTGTAGGCTGGTGTTTGAAGTTACATGCTGCAGAACAAGCTGGACATGCTGGACTCCTAATGCAGCTTATTGGGTCTAGCCTGTGAGCGTTTGCTCAGCCTGTTGTTCCTTCCAGTGATGTTCTCTCCTTTTCTCTGTACTTGACTGACCATACTCAGCTTTGAACATACTGCCTCGGATCCCTTTTCCACAGATTTCCCAAACATCAGCTTATAATGATATATTTCCCCTAAACTCTTAAAGTTTTATTTTATTTTATTTTATTTTTTAGTGCTTTTTTTGGTCTTTGATGAAATGTGCTGTCTTGAATTGCTAGTTAACTCTATGTTATATCTTTTCTTACCAATATGGTTATAGCCACAGGCAGGCATTTTATCCTATGATTCTCAAAATCATTAATATTGTGCCCATGTTAGGTACTCGAGAAATGTTTAAGTTAGTATTTGCACCTCAGCTTGTCCCAGTTGTTTTGACATTGGAGGGAAAAGAAAAAGATATTGCAAGCATGAATTGTGTGTTCTGGCATTAATTATGAACACATAGTACGTGGGCTTTACAATCCCAGTCCTGATGGTCCTCCTAACTCATAGTACAATGAATATGTTATACCCTTTWAAAAAAAATAAGAACAAGACAATAAAGACAAGTTGCAAATGATATAAACTGAAACAGAATTATTTCTAATAAAAAGAAACAAATATTAATATTAGTTAACTATATGGCCAGTGTTCTTTAAAATTAATTTTAACTAGTTTTTAGTCCACATATTTTTATATTACATTACATAGAGAATAACCTTTTCTATTGATGGGTATTTTATTCTTTTTCTGAAAACTTGGACAGAGTTCTATAACATTTCACTTGTGTGATTTAACCTTAATTGTCTGTGATAAAACTTTGACTCTAGAAGTAGTGATACAGGTGCCCTTGGTCCATGCCATGGACCTACTCCTTTTGTGGCCACTCCAATTTCAGTGGCTATCTTTTGGGGTAGGGCTAGTGATGGGGTTGTTAGGAATGAAGAGGTGAAACCACAACTTGACTGGGTTGATGGGAAGAGTGTTCATGTGTCTACTGGATCCCTATACTTTCTGAGAATTCCAAGATTCTCTTAAGAAATTTAGGGTCGTTACTTCAAATATACATCCTACTGAGAAGAAACTTGGATGTCCTTTTAGAGACTTCTGTTACTTTTGCTGTTTCTGCTAACCTATAACAGCCCAATTACTTCACTTACATAATAAAGAAGAGCTCACTACTTGTTGAAGCAATCTATTTAATTCTCTATGAGGTGTAGTTAAACTTGCACACTTAACATATTTGGTTTTAGCTCTGTCACTGGGGTTTCAGAATAAATATGATCTCTCTCCTGAATAAACCATACAAAGAGAATAATTTTTTAAAGAGCAAGTGAGTCATATTTCATTTTAGAAAATTTGAATGAAAAATTATCAAAATTTTCACATTTTAAACATTTGACACAGTGGGTAAAAAACAAATGGAATATCTTATTGTATGATAATATTAAGTAAGTGAGGTTATTTAAAATTACCCTTTATAATAGTGAAAGGAAGCAAATTTTTATTTGTTTTTAATTAATTTATTTGTTTATTTATTTATGATGTTGTGGATTGAACCCAGGGCCTTGAAGGAAGCAAAGTTGAGCAAATTGACTAACTGTAGATCATTTTACACTGTCCATTGTAAAAGCTATAGCTGTAATATGTCTTTCTAGGTAATGATCAATAATGGCTTTACACCAAATAGAAATGATTATGAATTTTGCGCCAAAGTAGAAAATATGGTGATCCCTCCACAAGGGTATTTTGGAATATCTGCTGCAACGGGAGGTCTTGCAGGTAAAACATGCTATCTTTTTAATATTGAAAGTTAGTGAATTGAGTTTTATAGGTAATAATATATGTTGGAGATATGTAAACTTGTTTGCATGTAACCTTTTAAGATTATTTGAAGTCTTCCCATAGTCTACTGTGCGTCTTTGGCTCTGTTGGGACAGCTCTCATTGTTTTATAAGTATACAGTTGGCTAGGGATGCATACAGGTATCCAACTTACAACATTAGTTTGGGTACTGTTTTACAGCAAAGGAAACATATTTAAATTTGAATCTATAAAAGGTTAATTGTCATATGTTTTAGGACCCTAAGTGTTGTCACATCATATATAAGTGAATTTGGCAATCTGAGGAAACTTTATTTGGGGACCAAACTTTATACCAAGATTCAGTGATCATTTTTTTCTCTTGTGTGGTAATAAATGAAGTTACTCCACATTAACCCAATTTTGTGTTTATATGGCACATTGTAGTTTTAAATACTTTTCAAATGTATGGCTCGTTCTCTGCAACCCAGGGAGGGCGGAAAGAGAGACCACATTTTTCCTATTTTTAGATGAATTTGTCAAATCTTATGTGAAAGGTTCTGAAGATCACATGGCCTATAATGGTTAGCCCAAGAAGGTCTGATCCCTGCCCTTTTAGACCACATGATTTCTGTTCAAGTTTCTCAGTGTACTGTGAAGAATCACAGTTTTCTGGATTGAATGTGCCTGCATCTCTCGATTTCCGTGAGTGATAGAAAGCATGAAGACTGCTGCACACTGTAGATAATTGTTCTACTCTGTGGATGTAACTAACCAGGACAACCTGCTGAGTCTCTGCTTTCAGCTTAAACAGCTTGACATTAATTTGATTTTATGTGATTTTAGATAAAACATAAAGTTATTTGTGGCTTCCATGTGAGTAAAATAAACATGAAAGGCAATAACCAATACATGTGATGAAATAGACTCAGAGACAGTTAGGTATAGGAAATATATTAACTGGATTTTGTCTATTTGTTTATTGTTTATTCCTTATTAGACATTTGTTAAGTATCTGTTATATGTTAAAGTTGTTAAATGTTGTGATTTAGGGTTTAAGAAAGTGAATTTGGATTACTTTTAATGTAAATCTTTCAGATGAATTTTTGCCCTTAAGGTCACAGAGAACCATTGCCTTTATCAAATTACAGCTTATTTATCATTATTTTAAAAGCAATAAATATAAATTCACAGCTATAAAAATAATATATTATGGAATTTTTTTTTTTTTAATTTGTAGATGACCATGATGTTCTTTCTTTTCTGACTTTCCAATTGACTGAGCCTGGAAAGGAGCCAGTGAGTACATATATTTGTTTTTCAAAGTGTATTTTCAATTTTCAATGGTTATGCCTCATGGCTGAAAACTTGGGAAGACTGACCTTCCTGCTGTATGATTGGCAGAACAGATGTTTGTCCTGGCCACTTCATGATGTAAGGATTAAAAGAGACAGTATACTTAGAGCAAGTAGTAGTGGTTATTGTTATTTTTGCTGTTAATATTAGTAGCAAGAGTAAAGTTTTTTTTCAATAAAAAGGAATAACCATTTTATGTTAACCTTTCAGCTGGTGGTAGAATAGTGAACATAAGAAAAAGAACATATATTGAAATGTCTCACGGGTTCTCTTATCTTTTTTATGATTTATTCTTAAACTCCAATAAAGCCTACACCAGATAAAGAAATTTCAGAAAAAGAAAAAGAAAAGTATCAGGAGGAATTTGAGCACTTTCAACAAGAATTGGACAAAAAAAAAGAGGAATTCCAGAAGGATCACCCTGACCTTCAGGGACAGCCTGGTGAGTGGTGGCAAAGCTGACATCCATGGTGGCTGTAAATTGGATGCATGATTCCATGTGTTTCCTATCTCACCCCCTGCTCTCTGACCTAGCAAGCTCTAAGTAATTTTTTGGAAACAATTTATGAGCAAATCTTCAGTCCTCAAGAGTTGAAAGACCTTAAAAGTGAGACCTTATCTTAGTAAAGTGTCAGTAATGAATGCCACAGTTGTATAGATGAATCCTACACCACTAGTGCTTGAGCTCCATGGGGCAGGGATTACACTTATTATGTTCTCTAAACCTAAAAAGTAACCCAGAACATTACTGTGCTGGTGAGGCTCAGCAGGTATTTGCTAAATGAAATCATGCAAGGTTTATGTCTCTCCTTTTAGTAGTACTATGTTTACCTTTTTAGCATAGAGGTAATACTTAAAAACTATCAAAACTATTGTCAGAATAATGTGAAATCATATCTAATCCACTTCTCTCCTTACTACTAATAGAATCCTGGACTTGAATATTTAGTATTTTAAAGTACTATTCTAGGGCTCAAGCGGTAGTGCGCTTGCCTGGCATGTGCGGGGCACTGGGTTCGATCCTCAGTACCACATAAAAATAAAATAAAGATGTTGTGTCCAACAAAAACTAATAAATAAATAAAGTACTATTCTAAGCCTATGTAATTCAGATCTTGCTTATTAAATTAATAATGTAAAAAATGTTAAGACTGGTTTTTATTACCTGGTTTTCCCTGTGCACATAAACAATCACTGCTGTACTTAAAGCCTGTGGCAAACATTTAACACTGTGTAGTGTAATGATCACCAGTGTCATCCAGACTTGAAGAAGATAAAAATGGAGCATAAATGTCTTTCTTTTAAGTATGTGAAAAGTGTAATTGGTGAATTTTGAAAAATGTTTCCACCTACTTAACTATCACCCAGTATATTTTTTTCACTTTAGAAAGCTCCCTGGTGCCTCCTTCACATCAAAATCCCTCTCCAGAGCCCATCACCATTTTGATTTCTGTCACCCTACATTAGTTCTTCCTATTCAAACGAACAGAATTATACAATATATATGAAAGAAAAAATTACTTTTAAATGACAAATTTAAATGGAATTTATAAATGTTCAGCCACTAGAAATGGCAAAAAACAAATAGTAAGAGTCATAATTAAATATTTACACATTTTCTCTTTGGAAGATTATACTACTATGTTGGAAATGTTTTAATTTTGGTGTCTGTTTACCCTTTGTTTGGTTACAGTATTTTAGTAATCACCTATATATAAGTATATATAGGTGATTCTAATTTTAATTCATAATTACTTTGCAGCGGATGAAATATTTGAGAGTGTAGGAGATCGTGAGCTAAGACAAATCTTTGAAGGACAGAATCGTATTCATCTTGAAATTAAGCAGCTGAACCGACAATTAGATATGATTCTTGATGAACAGAGAAGATATGTCTCTTCCCTGACAGAAGAAATCTCTAAGAGAGGATCAGGGATCCCAGGGCAGCATGGGCAGGTGAGCTTTCGGAACATGCAAATATGACTTATTTTGACTCTCTTGGATTAGAGTAGAAAAGAAAGGCTATAAAATGAGGATTATTGAGCTAGCTGACCATCTTTTTTTCTTCCAGATCACTCAACAAGAATTGGATACTGTTGTGAAAACTCAGCATGAGATTCTGAGACAAGTAAATGAAATGAAGTAAGTGCATCGAAGTCGTATTTCAGTGTTAAGTGGTATCTTTATCCTAGTGAAGGTTATGCATACATGCACTGTGTTATTATGAGGAATCGATCACATTCTTGATTCATTTTATAAATAGGGGACTATAAACATAAGAATTTTTAATGGTGCAGCCAATTTGGAAAGCATTATGGAGATTCCTGGGAAAGCTGGGAATGGAACCACCATTTGACCCAGCTATTCCTCTTCTCAGACTATACCCAAAGGACCTAAAAACAGCATACTACAAGGACACAACCACATCAATGTTTATACCAGCACAATTCACAATAGCTAAACTGTGGAGCCAACCTAGATGCCCTTCAATGGATGAATGGATAAAAAAAAAATGTGGCATTTATACACATGGAATATTACTCAGCAATAAAAAATAATAAGATCATGGCATTTGCAGGGAAATGGATAGCATTAGAGCAGATTATGCTAAGTGAACTTAGCCAATCCCAAAAAAAGAAATGCTGAATGTCTTCTCTGATATAAGGGGGGTGACTCAAAATGGGGTAGGGAGGAAGAGCATGGGAAGATTACCTCTAGATAGGGAAGAGGGGTGAGAGGGAAAGGGAGGGAGAAGGGGAATTGCATGGATGGTGGAAGGAGACCCTCATCGTTATACAAAATACATCTATGAAGATGTGAAAAAAAGAAAAGAAGTAAAAGAATTTCTTTTCTTTTCATGAAAAAGAAGACTCAAATTCATAATAGAATGCATGTTTAGGCATTATGTTCATAGACTTTTTTTTTTCTTTTGCTTTGTTTGTTTATTGTTGTTTTTTAACACCTAATATATGTTTGTTTTCACATCATCAAAATTATTTCACCTCTATCCAAGAAATGCTGTGATATAAATTAATAAAAATTTTGGAAGCTAGAGAGGAAAAAGGAAAAGAAAAGTGGGGGAATCTCAATAAAATCAATGGGAAATCAGTAAAATAGAGGAAAGGGACCAAAGGGAGGGAGGACAGGAAGGAAAGGGGAAGTACTTCGAAATGATATTGGCCAAATTATATTGTTGTATTGTGTGCATGTATGAATATATAACCACAAATCTCACCATTATGTATCATTATGTAATTATGTGCATTACACAATGACAATACACAATAAAATATGGAAAAAAACCAGAAATTTAGCAGTATGAAATTATATCAGTTTTAAATAATTTTTAAAAAAGAATTTTTGATATTTAGAAACAATAAACATCTAAATTTTTAATAGTTTTAACCTGGAAAAAAATCTTTAATGTCTTTAGAAAAGCTAACTTGACAGAGTCAGGTGTGTGCTTGTATGTAGAAAATATTAAAAGAATATGGAATGTGGCATATAGCAATTCTATGAGAAATACTAGGGAATGAGCATGTTTAGCATTGTAGGACTATAATATAAATTACTTGGATGCAGGTATTCTTTTTTTTATGGCATGAAAACATTTTAAAGGAAATAATGTGTAACAGCCTCTTTTTTCATTCTTGTACCCTAAGAGAGACTAGACAAAGATCAGAGTGTTGAATGATAAGTTTCTGATAATGATTTACTTATGCAGATGATTAACATTTCTCAATTCCTTGAGCAGAGAAAATAAGCCAGAGTTTCACGTTTCCATAAGCTAATGCTTTAGAGCACTATCCTGACCAGTATAATCCTTGACAAACAAGAATGTCAAGGTATATTATTTAGGATTAGGAAATTAAACTGGATTAAAGAGAAGGTGATGTTCCTGACATCTAAAGATGAAAACCACTCAACTTATAACTGAAAATTTGTATTTCTTTAATCTGTTTTTTGGTACTTAAAAATTTTTTAATATCGTGAACTCATGACTGCCAACTGAATAGTTGAGCTATTCAGATAGTTTAGCTAAATGAATAGAGTTCTTTTGAAAATGAACTTGATCATGTAACATAACATTTGAATTTTTTAATTTTCATCTGTTTTAGACTCCAAATGCTGCAAAAATAGTACAGAAATTTTCCATAAAAATCTTTTACCCATCTTCCCCTAATGTTGACATCTTATATTACCACAGTATAATTGTCATAACCAAGAAATTAACATGGATAAAATACAATCAATTAAACTAATGACTTATTCAGACCCCCTTCCCCCCAGGGATATATCCTTCCAAGGAAATATTACTTTCTCTTTCTTCCCTGCTATCTCTCCTCAGTCCTTTCTCCCTTTCTTTCAAACCTTTTCCCAGTATCTCTGTTGATAAGCAATTATATTAGTTTCTGGTTTGTTCTTCCTGTTTTTCTTTTGCACATGTGTATTTTCTTAAGTCTTCATACTCTAGAAACCCTTGTGCTTTGTTTGTTTCACTTAGCAGTAGTATTAGAGCACCTTAAAGTTTAAGTAGTGGTTAGGAATTTCTTAGGATATTTGATAGTCCTTACAAACTCCCACTTACTAGTGGAGAACAAATGTCATGCATGCAATAAATTAACCAAAACTGAGCTCAAATTTTGAATTGGTCCTATAGAGCTTTTTCTTTGGAATTAAGGTTCAGGAAAAATGTGAAGAGATAGGAAATATTTGTCTTTAGTGGAAAGGAAGATTTGTGTCTTTATAAAGGATTTTCATGTTCCCATAAAGTCATAATTTTTTTTTCTGTAGAGGTCTTAGAAAGCATGTAGTTCAGCCTCCTTTCTGTAGCATTGAACCTTTTCCCACTTCTTCATCTCAAAACTTTTTCCTTTCAAGATTTCTAGCATACTGCTCACTCTTTGGCCTCTCTGCTTCCACTTAGTTTTCTTCACGTGTTGTTCTTCTTTCCAACATCTCTTAAAAGATGTTTTCTCTGGGTTTCTATCCTCTTTTCACTTGATCTATTCCCTAAATGAAGTATGCCCCCTTTCACGACAATTCTGCCTCATAGACCCCTCCTCATTCTTTAATACTCTGCTCTAGGTGCCCAGGAAAGTTTAACACATCTTTATTTGCAGAGCTCTATTTTTTTCTAAGACATTGCTCTCCTGCAAGACTATTGGCTCAGCAGGGCAGGAATTACATTTTTCTCACACAGTTTATTTCCCTAAAAATTGCCTGGCTCATAACATGTACCAAATAAATGTTAGCAGAATCATAGGCAAACAAATGAATGATTGAATGAGAGAACATTAAGAGACTCAATTTTTATATATTAAAAAGACATTTCTATGTAAGCAAGTTCGTACTTCTGGGAAGCAATATTCTTAAATGGAGTTATGTAAGAAATTTATATTACATGGGAGGTTTTAGTCTTGGTAAGTATTTCAAGTGTATTAAAGTATAATCCTTAATTGATGTTTTAATGGAAAAGCTTAGCCTCATGAATTTTCTTGAGCACTTGTGCCATGGAAATAAATTTTAATCAATATATGACATTGATTCAGAAAGCACTTTAGATATTTTATAGCTAGTTTTAAAGTCTTCATTGCTTCTTTAAGTCAAATACAGTTTTTTAAAACTTAACATTTAGTCTGACATAACTATGCTATTTCTAATTAATTCTGAGATTTGAGTCTCTTCTTTTTGCTTTCTTCTAGTAGAGCTCTTCTTTTTAAATTAAATTTTATTCTAGGAATTGAGTGGGATAACTTTGTATTTATTCATCCAAATTGAACCATAATTGCAGACACTGGTAGGAAATCAGAGACATAAAACTCATTCTCAGGGGGCTTATGCTGATCCATCTGTGCAGATCCAAAGTAGGAAAGTCTCGATGTGGGACGATTGACTGTGTTTGTTAGGGAAGGATCCAGGGGAGAATGTAGAGGAAAGGTAACCTATAGTGGAGGGATTTCACCAGAAAGAACATCCAGAGGCTTAAAGGGAAAGGATATTTTTCAAGGAATGGCTAGAGCCAAGACAGGTAAAAAGGAATAGTGGGAGATAAAATCTGAGCAATAAATAGCAAACATTATAGAGACACTTGAGTTTTAGATTTTTGTARCCACTTTCGAACATCCACAGAAATAGAATAGTACAATGAATATCTGTGTATCCACAGTCAGCTTCAACAGTTGCCAGTTGTATTTTATTTACCTCACAAAAAAATTTCCAGACTTGAAGATAATTTGTAATATAAGTGTTAATATATACCTTTTTAAGTGCTTAGTAGGTAAAATAATGATATTTTCAGGTAAATTTATTTCCTTATTAATAAAAAGCCTGTTATATTTCTGCAATTTTTAAAGAAAAATGTTTGTAATTTCTTACTATCATGCTTACAGATTCATATTGAAAGGGCATACTCACTGGTAGAACTCCTTATTTTACATATGAATAGTGGAATCACATCTTGCATTAAATTATATTCTGAAGTCAGTATGTTAAGACAAAATGTTGCATGAAGTCAGAATTACCCTTCAAAATAATATCATGTTGGAGAATATCACACCATCTCAGCGTACCAACCAGTTTTTCCTTTATATTTGGAACAAATAGATTCTTCTTTGTATAGGGGCCATCTGGTAGAACTGCAGGGAGAAAACACTAGTTGGATTTGTGTTTGGGGTTACAGAGTCCCCTAGGATTCTAAGATTTACCAGAAGTATTCGCAGAACTCAGAAAAACTGTTATACTCATGGTTATAGTTTAATACAACAAAAAAGTATTAAGCAAAATAGCAAAGAAAAAAGGTGCAGAGAGTTGAGTCCAGGAGAAAGAGGCTCCAGCTTCTGGTTGTCCTCTGCTAGTGTTCTCACAGATGGTACAGATGGTCCCCAATTTAAATTTTTCAGTTTTACCATTATACAAAAGTGATACACATACAATAGAAATTGCACTTCAAATTTTCAAGTTTGATCTTTTTCCAGGCTAACAATGTGTGGGGTAATACTTAGTTGCAATACTAGACAGCAGCATCTAACCACAGACCCTATCAGCCCATATAGTCATGAGGGTAAATAACCAGTACTCTATAGTGTGCTGGGTTGCTAAGCAGTGATGTGCTGTTGCTTAGTTGTACTAAATGCATTTTTAACTTATATTTTTCGTTTTATAAGGGGTTTGTCAGACTGTAAATTTCGAAAGTCAAGGATCTTCTGTACGTAATTCTCCCAACAGCAATGTGTGACAAACAATATGTGCCAAGTGCTGCCATCTAGGGAAGCTTACCCAAGCCTTGGCATCTAGGATGTTTTATTAGAGATCAGTCATTATAAATGGAGCACCCATGTAGCTGACCGAAAACACTCTGTCATCACTTTCTTTATGACTGTAGGCAAACAAAAACAGAATTCTCATAAATCAGAGTTTGCATAAACTGGCCAGGCCCAACACCCCAGAAAAATAATTCTTTATTGGGCAGCATATTCCAGGTGCTTACAGTGATGACCTGATCAAGGGCAGTCCTGAAAAACTTTAGAATGCATAGGATTTGCAGAGTTCAGGTCTACTTAATCCTTTGCTGTAAAACATTGAAAACACTGGAAAGATTTCTTACAATTTATTAAGAGTAATTAATATCCATTATATTATTCAGAATTTAACCTTTATTTTATTTATTTATTTTTATGTGGTGCTGAAGATCAAACTCAGTGCCTCGCATGTGCTAGGCAGCATTCCACCAAGGAGCTACAACCCCAGCCCACATTGCTCGTTTTAATATAGACTATTTGGTAGTACTCTCTATGTATTATTTTTAGGTGGCCTTTAGTGAAGAATAAAGCCGTAGTATTAAGCTGTAGTTTTATAAATCATTTTCTAGTTTTGAAGACAATTCCGAGTTTAAATACTTTCTTTACCCTTTTTTTGTGTGTATATGTGTATGTGATCTGATTATTAAGCTTCAAAAAGTATAACCATTTGAAATCTGTGACTGAAAAAGTCAATCATCTTTATAGTGATTTCATTATATAAAGAGATTTTCTGTTTCAGGAATTCTATGAGTGAAACTGTCAGACTGGTCAGTGGGATACAGCACCCCAGTTCTGCAGGAGGAGTCTATGAGACCACACAGCACTTCATGGATATCAAGGAGCACCTGCACATAGTGAAGAGGGACATAGACAACTTAGTACAGCGAAATGTGGTAACTTTGTTTCTTTTTCTGTAACTGTTATAGACTTCCTTAGAAAAGGAAGAATGCATGGTCTACTTTTATTCTGCTGAAAATATTTTAACATTAGTTAGTGTTAATACCTTTTTTTTTGGGGGGGGGGGATACTGGGGCTATACCACTGAGCTAAATTCCAACCCTTTTAATTAATTGTATTTTGAGACAGGTCTCACTAAGTTGCTTAGACTGGCCTCCAACCTGTGATCATCCCATCATGCCCAGCTAGCTGGAGTTCATTTTTATTATTCAGGGTAGAATTGGTCCATGTCTTTCAAATTTCTATATATTTTGATTTCTTTGTTAAGTTTTATATGTAGGATTTACATTATCATTCAATGAAAATATTCTCTGATTACCATTTTAGTATCTTCTCTGACCCATGGCTAAGGCCAAGGATGGTTTGGGTAATATATATGTCCTGAAGAACTGTGCTGGGTAGATGTAACTATATCAAGAAAAATACATATGGAAATAGGAAGAGAAATGKTTTTTAGAACAGTAGTGAGTAATATTGAATGCTGTGAGATTGGAGAGAATGATGGTAAGTAAGAGCTATTATGTTTGTAGTTTATTGGCAGGATAACTGTGCCATTTATTTTCTGAACTGAAACACTTTTGAAAGTGAAGGGTGGGCTATTGGTAAACACACTAGTGCAGCAAGTGTGCACTGAAAGTGTTCAGGGGAATGTGGTTTGTATTACTTCTCATCTCTAAAACTTTCAAAATTATCATCATCCTTAGTGAAGACAAGAGCCAGAAGGCAGTGTGATAAGGTAGAAACCATCTCATGTCAACTACTCTTAAAATTTTTTTCATTTTTAAATTAAAAAAAAAAAAAAAAAGAAAAGTTGAAGTGATAGAAGATATTTCTAGGGAAGAATTAATCAGAATACTTGTTTGTATAATAAACCACGAGTTTTATATAAAAGTTTCATGTATGTCTTTTTCCAAACTACTAATTTGACTAATTATAATTATAGCCATCCAATGAAAGATCAAAATGCCCAGAACTACCACCATTTCCATCATGTTTATCGACGGTTCACTTCATCGTATTTGTAATTGTACAGACACTGCTGTTCATTGGTTACATCATGTATAGGTGAGTCTCCATGAAATTTGACATAATTATTTTCTGTGTTTAATTTGAAATACTATATGAAGTTATATATACCCATAATGCAACTTCAGATACAAAGCAAATATTATCTCTAGTCTATTTCAGTTCACATTTGGAGTACATACATAGAATATATGCTTATCTTAATGTATTTTATATTTCAAAGGCATCGATATTTTAAGCAATCCTGTTTCTTTCCAAAGTTTAATGTGAAGAACTTCTTTCAGTTTTTTTCTCTTTTTTCTTTTTTTTTTTTGTAGGACTCAGCAAGAAGCAGCTGCCAAAAAATTCTTTTGACCACCATTTTCATGTGTGTACATCATGTATGTATGTACAAAATGTCTTTTTGAGGGACTTATAAGTATTTAAATTACTTCATAGTCTAAATTATTAAATTTTATATAAAATAAAACATTGTTTAAACATTGATTTTTTTTTCGGTAAGAATAAACCTTAAAGATAACCATATGTAAATTTATTCATAGTACATAAATCTGTTTAAATTTCAGTGAACTGGTTAGTAGAATGTAGCCACTGAATAAACTATTGACAAGAGGATAAATACTAGAAAATAAAAAATAGAAATAATAGAAAATGGATATGAGTGCAACCCACTAAGTCTCTAATATGGAGAGGCTTATTTATTTAACATAAACACACTTGTCCTCTTGCCTCCCAGAATATGGGTCTAAGTAACAGCTCTCCATCGTATTTTGTCACCAGAGTCTTAAAGGTTGGAATTTCCTAAACTAAGACCTGGCTTTGCAGTTCTTTAATCTTAATATAGCTCCCTCTGGAATCAAAGAATGTTTTGTCTCAGAGCTTTATGATGTGGTTAATAAGCTTCAGATGTTTAATGAAATGTTTTTCCCTCTGATTATCAATGCTACATCTCACCGTTAAAGGAAATTTTAGGGAAAAATTAAGAGCTGCATTTTGCCTAAAAAGTCACTTAGATGAAAACATTCCTCTGATAATAGTTTTTAATGGTTATTTTTGTCTGGTGATGTATTCATTTYAGAATGGCCCTTCTTCTTGAGTGTCTTCATTCAATATTATAAAAAATAATTTTTTGTACTTATATTTTTAATTTAAGGAATTTATTTCTCTTATTTTGTCCAACGTAATTCAGCTCAGATTGCATGTTTTAAGAATATTTTGAGTTCACAAAACCTACCACTATACTGTGGTTTACATTACTCTGTGTAACCCAGGATTTCTTACTCCTTGTATACTCTTACATTAAGGAGGCTTGATTTAGAAGCAGTTTTAAGATTTTTGAGGGCAAAAATTGAAAAATAGAGCAAAATACTTCTGATTTCTTCCTTTTAATGCCAGAACTAAGGATGTTGTAAAGCACTTGTTAGTAAACTTAACCATGAAATGTTAGACTGGAAGGAGATTTTATAGTCTTTGTACATAGTTCTGGGTATTAGAGAAACCATCTGTAAATGACATTTTATAAATACAGATTTAGTTTTTGTTTTCACACCTGGTGTAGACTGACTTTTGCTTGCTTCAAAATACTCTTTTACCTAAAGTGATTTGATTCTCTTTCCTTTGCCATAGGATTGAGAGTAATACTGTTTTATAAAATAGTACTATTGAATTCTTCCAAGCCTTCCCAAGATTCCTCTCAAATGTCATTTACAGATTGGGCTAATGAACTTAAAATTTCTATAAAGACTTCGTGAAGAACTGTGCAGTATAGCAGTAYCTAACTAGCACTGTGTGTGCGAACAGTCTTGGATTGCTTCTTGTGTAAGTGTTTATCCTAGAACACAGAAAGAGAATAACTAATGACGACTCACTCTACTTTGGTCACTTCAACGTTGAAAAAGTTCCTCTCACATTTCTCCTTTGTGTTAACATTTTGAAATTCATGTTTCGGAGACATCATCATCACAGAATTTACTCATATTCCATGAAAAAAAAATAATTACCCTCAGAAGAATATGTTGTAGACTGTGGAACCTGGGAAATCCTCTTGAGATAAAGGCTGCCAAGTCCAGTATTTTTTAAAGCTCATGGTTACATGTGCCTGAACATTAAAGAAATACAGGATCTATGCAGTATATACTTTTCAGGTTAGAATTCAAGGGGAATTCTTCTGATTGTTCCTAATACTAGTGGAGATGGTTGTTATGAAAGAGAATGAGCATGAATTTTTTTCTTATTAATTTAATTTGCTTGAAAATCAGTAAAATAGTTCATGTAGGACATTTATCTTATTATTTGAAATTTGTTTTCCTCAAAATCATCAAGTAGCTCATTTTTTAACAAAGTGTTTCRGTCTGTGGAAAAATCAATCACTGCCAGAATTTTTTCATTTTTGTACTATTATGTATAATTGAATTTAGTCACTTCTCTCACACCAGCAAGTATTTTACAGGTGCCTTGGATTAAAACAAAATTTATTTAAAATTTTTAATGTAAGTTGTTGTGTTTATGATGCTACTTTTAAAAAGAAAATGCAATTACATAATGGCTGATGCCCTTAATTAGTATACTTATTTGTATTCCAATTGTTTGAATGTTTTATTCAGCTTGAAACTTTACCATGAAGTCACAATAACCAATGTTCTGTTATGTGTTAAAGGCATATTAGTGTTTCTTAAAGTATAGTCCATGGACCAGTCTGGGTCTTGGAGTGCTTGTTTAAAATACAGATTTCAGGGCCCCATTCCAAGTCACCTGTATTAAAACTCAGGGGTGGGAGGGCTTCAGAGTATCAGTGTTCAACAAGCATCTCAGATGATTCTGAGCACACTAATGGTTGAGAACCACTAAAATGGAGAGTGAAAAATAGGTCTTTTGTTGGCTTAATACTGAGTTGAGAGCATAATATTTTTTATTATCAATGAAATTATTAGCAAATGTGCACTGATTCTTTTATATGTAAAATGTACTTAATGTTTCTTTTACTAAAATTCTTGGTTCATTAGTGACTACAAACTAAATCCAGGTTATTACTTGTAGCTCTTGGTACTTTGGTGGCAGCTTATGTTCAGATCCTGGTCAAGCCATGGAAACTTCCATCTTGAAGCCTGCCAGCTAAAGCCCTTGCTTTCTTGTTGTGATTGTGCTGATGTTTCATCTCAGACAACTGTACTTTTTGATAACGTGGGGAAAACAGAAATTACTTGAATAAGGGATTGCCTGCCCTGCCACTTTGCAGAGATGTGGTCTTTGTAAAGAACATAAAGCAGTTGTGAATATTAAGATGTGATTATCTTTCCCTGTCCATGTATTTGTCAAAGGGAGATAGTAAACAAATTATTATATTGGGGATTTTTTTATTTATAAGATCTAGTGTAAAATCAGCTCTTGCAACTTTTTAGATCTGTGTGTTGCCTGTTTAATATATTTCTTTTATGATATTACTTAAAAATTTWAAAAAATTTAAAAGGATTTTCTATCTACTGTCAGTTTCAATTGGATAACATTTTGTCAAGTTTTTTTTTTTTTCCTGATTGTTATTTTATGCTAGCAGGAATTTAAAAAATGACACTGACCTTATTCAAATAAAGAAATATTTTAGTAGTTTGCTATTTTCTTCATTGATCTCAGGTAATAAGTAGCTTTTCATTTTCCAAATAAGCTCTGATCTGCAATAGAACTTCATTTATCTGTCATCTGTGCTTTGTCTTAGGTGACCTGCCTCCTGTGGCGTCAACAAATAGAAGGGAAACTGGAGAAAGTAGAAATGGCATTTGTTAAATATTTACTCTTGCTGGTAATGAAAAGTACATATTAAAACAATATATTTGATGTTTTCACCTTCAATAACCAAATGCTGGCAAAAGTATAGTTAAGCTGGAACTCTTTGTTGTTATTAGTTACTGGCAATTTTTTAAATCTTTTTTTTTCCCCCAAATACCATTAACCTAGTGAAACTGGGTTTGAGTCTTGGCTCTGCAACTTACTAGAGGTGGTTTTCAGTATCATCATAATCTTACATCGTTGTTAGCATTGTAAAAGAGAGTCTTTATAAAGAGATTTCAAAAAGTAACATACTAAGTTAATGGATCCCTTTCCTCTATAAACATAAAGAAATGCTGGATAAAAGATTTAAATACATAGATGAGTGTGAAAGAAATTAGAATTTAAAGATTGATTAGGGAGCTTGCTAGGGGTAAGGATAGCAAAAACTAAACTATATAAGCCCTGATACTGTGGTTGGAGGATATGTTCAGATGGAGCTTAAGGGATGTGATTTTGGGCCTGGAAAACCCATTAGGTTTGAGCTAAGATGCTCAGATAAAGTTAGGACCCTGGCAAGTTGCTCCTTCAGTGGAAGTGGGCTAACAGCACCTTACACCCTGATGACAAGAGAAAACATAACAATCGTCTCTCCTTGGGGTTCTGGATAGGGAATAAAATTCTCTATAAGAAATTAAAGACCCAGCCTCATGCTTTATGCCATTGTAGCATCCAAATGACCTGCATGGTGTGGAATTTTCCAAGCCAAAACTAAATTAGTTCTGGTCTGGTAAATTCCAGGAGGAGGCAAAACAAAAGCACTCTTTAGCAATAATTCCACAACAAAAGCACATCAGACAACCCAGAACATCTAGTCCTAACTAAAATGAGCTCTAAAAATCATACACCAAACAAGAAAAATGTGAAAGAAATAGTAAATAGAAAACTTGGCACCTCCAAGAATCTGGGGTAACAGTGACAAAGAAAACCAATATGTACACTGTAAATGACTTTAAAAGACTTGAGTTTATTTAGACTAGAAATTATAAGGAAGGAAGGGAACACTGAAAAGAAGAGTAAGAAGTTATCTGGTAGTTAACTTAAATACCCAGAGAACTTAAATATGGGCAGAAGGATTAAATTGGACACTGCTGAAAAAAATGATTGCATTATATGTAAGAAGTCTGAAAAAAATTACAGAGAATGCATCACAGAGATTAAAATGCAAAATATGAGAAATTGGCAGTTGATAGAGAGGTATGATATAAATCCACAAGGGATACTAGAGGGAATAGGGAGAATTGTGGGATGACTACTCACAAATAGAATTTTCCAGAACTGATGCACATAGAAAACTGAGTCTACACGAGATCAGAAGGCAGATTTCGGGGGGCTTCCCACAGACATTATCTGAATCATTAGATGCTTGCTATGATCTGAGTGTTAGTGTTGTTCTAAAATTCATATTTTGGAATTCTAACTCCCACGGTGATATTATGGGGGCTATGCAAGTAGGAAGGGCTGCAAGAGAACCTACGCTAGGCAGACACAGTGACGTGAACTAAAGCCAGGAGTTAGGAAGCAGTGTTATTTATTTGAGAACCTATAATCAATCCTGTTACGCCAGAAAATAAAGGGGAAATTGATGATTGGATTGCAAAGCTGTAGGCTGTTAGATTAGACGTCATCCAAAAGGTAGTGAGATGCCATGAAAGTTTTAAGTAAAGGATGTTTGCATTTCAAACGTTGCAGTTGGT